TATTTATCAAAAAGAATAAATGAATGACTATCTCGTATGGGTGGTTTTTGGGTCATTCACTGCTGGGTCTTAATGGAGAAGACCCAGAAGTACATAGGGGGAGGAAACCGCTAATTTTATTTTGACTGGAATATGTGCATATATACACTTCCATACAAAGATGTATTTTACATCCCAGCTAGTCTAGTAAAGGACAAGAGTTTCCTATATTGTTTGGGAGGACCCAACAGATAGTTACCCTATAGGAACCCCCTTTTCTGAACAATAATGATAGTTTATCATAAGTAATTGTATTAAGTTGAATAGTTAATGAAACAATTTCATTGTATCATTCTTCATAATAGGGAAGCTCCCCTCACCTTTTCCTTTGAGATTAAGATTTACAGAAGATTGACAGAAGATCAACATTACCATGTAACATTAAACCAAAACTGAGGCTCCATTATTCAGCTTAAACTTCCTGATACATATATTTTTTTCGTAATTGTGATTCCAGGAAGGTAGTATGGTGAAATGGCAAGGAACAGGTGCAGACTTATTCAACATCTTTGGTAAACAGCACTGGCGATTAAACAGAGCTTTCTTTAATACGATTAATTCTAAAATATGAAGAGCAGCTTTGCATATCCCCAAGATATACGGCATTTGTATCTATATAAGATTAAAGGAGTTTCACATAAAGCAATTTTATTTTTCAACCTCAAAGAAATGCTTTGGAGAGTTGTTTGAAGGAAGCACACTGCAGCCAATATGGGGAGTGCAAAACCTTCTTTGTGGAAAGACAGTTTGCTCAGCCAGGAATTGTACCTGCGGCTTTCACTACCCAGGACATACAGGACATTATTCATGGGATCACAGGATGGTGGGAAGGGGAAGACATAGGTTAGAGATCAGGCCAACAAACATCCCGGACAGGTGGTTCCTGACTGTGATAACCTTGGGTTTCCACAGATGGAAGCTCAATGCCTCCTGAAGCTGACCTTTGTGCAGCTCTAACAAACAATAAATAATGACTATGACACTGTGTGTAATAACTGTGATAATAAAGATCACAGCTGCCACTTTCATATGCCAGGCACCGTACTTAAACACGTAACAAATGATACAGATTCCTACCACTAAATCTTCCCTGGGCTTACCACCAGCCTTCCAGTTCTTCTCTTTTGGGCCACACACAACAGACGTCCTCTGCAGTGAGCTGCAAGTATTTGAAGATAGCTTTCAGGTTCTTTATCTGTTTTCTTTTTTTTGTGCTAATTTTTTTTTTTTTATTTTTTGACGTAGATACAGGTATTTACATGGATTGTATTAAATTTCATCTCTCTGGCTTTGCATCACTTTTCCAGGCTGCTAAAGTATTTGCAAATCCTGATTCGATCATCCACAGACATTTAGAATGTGCTCTTGAAAATTATAAGCCTCTGCTTTCTCTTATCCTCTTCCCCTTTCTTTTCTTCTTGACACAAATATTTATTGCGGCCTTTTTAAATGCTAGACACTGTCAAGTCTTGAGGCAGCAAGTTTGCATAAGGCCCTCCTATGGATTTCGAGAAGGCTTTGCTTAAGCAGAGAGACAGAAACAGAAATTAAAATACAGCATAGTAGGATTATGCAATGGATGAAAAAAGGGGAAAGTTTAACATGTGGTGGAAGCACTGCCTCTGATTCATGGAGACCAAGAGAGAAAGGGGCAGCCCCCACTTCATGAAAAGGTAGCCAGAGGGTGTTGTGGGGAACTTCTTTATGGAAGGGACCCTGCTGTTACTGCCCAGTGTTAACACTCCCCCTCCATCTGCCTGACTATTGAGCTCTTCCTCTCCCTGCTGCCTCTCTAAAGAATCAGGTACAGCTGCCTTGGCTGGAAGGTCTAAGTTCTGATGTGGTGTAGCAAACAGACAGGGATCATTCTAGATTGCAACTGGAGACCAGCAAGGGACAGAATTGTAGAGGAAGTGGGTTTTTTGTTTTGTTCTATTTTGTCTTCCGGTACCGGGAATCAAACTCACGACCTCGCGCTTGCCAGGCAGGCACTGTGCCTCTGAGCTAAATCCCCAGCCCCTAGAAGTGGGTCTTTTATGACCTAACTATGCTCAGATAGTTATTGCAAAGGCTGGAGGAACAAGTACAAAAGGACTTTCTGGTTATGGCTCCTTGTGGGTTTCTTCTAAGCAACTTGCCTATGTCACTCAGAAGCCATCCACAGTGTAAAGACTGGAATCCTCAGAAATCCAGATAGGATGGTTTGTTTGCCAGCAACCTACAGGTTAACAGGAATTAGGAATTTTGTCGGAAGGAGAATAGACAACCTTCCTAGAATCATTATCCGATGTTGACCCACATTCTTGAGAGACACCTTTGTGGCAGTGAGACCTTTCTAAAGAAAGAAATGTCTGCATCCAAGAGGCCACAGCGATCTGAGAACTAGCGGGTCCTGGGCCAAGTGCCTTGTTGTCTTCCAAGTGCCTGCTAGCATCCCGGAGGGCCTGTGGAAAGCTGGACGGACAGACTGATTTAATTAGGGCTGCTGAGCTGCACCTGTCTTTAGGAGTTCACAAATCTAGATCTGGGTGAGAAGTTCTGACAGTGTATTTCCTTACAGTGTGTCCATGGACATGGTCAGGTGTAGCTCCTGGGGAAGTAATTGCCTGGACATCTGTGAGTAAAGACAGACACACATAGCTGAGCTCTGAAAGCAGGGCCTGAAGCTGTGAAGCAATGTAAAGCTGAAAGTGTTATAACTACCATCAAAGCAGGATTGAAAAATTTATGGATCTGGTGCTGAGAGGCAGGCCCAGGACTGCTAAAGCATCTCTTTTTCCTAAATGGCTATGGCATCAATATAGAAGAGCGCAGAGACTTGGTTCCACCTTTGGAGTTTAGAGGGTTTACGGGAGTTCTCCAAAAGAACAGAACCAATAGCATATATATAGTTATAAGAAGACATTTTCAGATTAGTTAGATTGGCTTATACAATGAGTCCAGGAAGCTGGAAGAGAGATGGGAAGGAAGGGCCTGGGAAGGGAGGGGTGTACCGAGTGATATCTTCCGTCGAAGGCTGAAAGCCCCTGGAGGGCTGCTGGTACAAGTCTTCATTTAAAGCCTGAAGAACCTGGAGTCTGATGCTCACGGGTGACTGTAGCAAAAAAATGCATCTGCTTGGAAACATGGAGAGTGCAAGCAGAACTGGCCTCCAACGTCTTTGTCTTTTTCTTTCTATTTGGAGACCAGCCTATTTGGACGGTGCCGCCCATATTCCTCTGATGAACATCATCATTATGTACTGAGACAGGGTTTGTGTCCTTCCTTGTTTCTGGTACACAGTACCAGACACCCATCGTTAAGGAGGAAAGGTTTATTTTGTTCACAGTCTGTGCACTCAGCTGGCCCCATGGCAGGGTGGCGTGGAGAACGGTAATGCAGAGGACAGACAGTGGGCGGCAGCGCAGGCAGGAAAAAGCGGCCCCAGCAGGCGGTGAGCAGCGAGCCTGTCTTCCGTCTTCCCTGTACTCCTCCAGGCTGTAAGTCCACTGACTGGTACCAAGCCACCCAGGGTGGGGCTTCCCACTACCCACACCCAGTGGTACCCTGAACCAGTCAGTGCACTAATTTAGTTATCATGCCCTTAATCCATATTCGCACACCTTTAATACACATTCACACACTAGCGATCCAGCCACCTCCAAAAAGTCCCACCTATGAGCACGTAAGTTTTTGAGGGGACATGCATATACAAGCCGTAACAGTCTGGCTATGTAGTTTAGGCTGGTTTCGAACTCATTATGTAGCCCAGGCTAACCTCAACCTTTCGGCAATCCTTCTGCCTCAGCCTGCGGAGTGCTGAGATCACAGCCTTGTGCCACCGTGCCCACCTCCTAAAAATAAAAAAATAAAAATAAGGGAAATCCCCAAAAAACAAAGAAAACAACACAAAATGAGACAAGACAGAAAAACAAAAACCAAAAAGACTTCATTATTTAAGTAGTAATAACTCCTATTTTGGGGGGCACAGCAAGAACATAAACAGATGCTTCTAGACTAACAGATTTTGATTTGTACAAACTGAGAATGAAGAGGCCACAGAAGCCAACATTCTGGAGCCTGAGGCCAGGGATCATTTGTTTGAGCCCAACAGGGGGAACTAAGTGAAGTTCTGTCGCGAAAAAAGAAAGAAAGAAAATGAAAAAGGGGGTTGGGATGTGGTTCAGGGTCAGGGCCCTGGGCTCAAGCTCCACTACTGCAAAACAAAACAAAACAAAACAAAACAAACTGATTTCATTCTGCGAAGGATCCCGGGGAATTCTATTGCTCCCCAGAGACAGGCATCTCGTTGCCGCTGTCTGTCTCAGTAGCTGTTCACAAACCTGCACCTCACAGGCAGCAGTCCTGGCTGAGGGCAGCTGCTGTCTCGGGGCGAGAACTGACCACCCAGTTCTGAGCTCTGCGAGCCTCGATTCGCATTACAACACGCCAGGGGCAACACCGAAGTCGGAAAGTTCTGCTGAGAGCCTCTGGGCTGCAGCTTTTAGCAGTATAGACAGACACCCGCACACTTGTTAAAACATGGTTTCCCCGGGCTTTAAAAAATAAATATAACTTCAAGTGCACTTAGGTTTGAACTTCAGGCCTGCTCTCCCGCTCCCCGCCCCGCTGTTTCCGAGCCGGGCAGCGGACACCTCAGTGGGGAGCGTCCGCGGGGCCACCGGGCTCTGCACACGTCAGAGGGCGCCATCCGCCCGCGTCTGCGCTCCCCCTTAAATGCGGGGCCGGGCCTCCTGCTCGTACAGGTGGCAGAGCCCACGGCGTGTCACAAGGGACAGAATGCAGGGCAGGGCAGGCGCAGAAAGGTCGCAGCAGGGAGAGGCGGAGAAAGGGAAGGGGAAACAAAGAAGTCCGCGCGCCTGAGGCATCCCTATTGTCCAGCCCCGCCCCCGCACGAGGCGCACCCCCCACCGGAGCTCTGCGCCTGCGCGGCGCCCCCCTCTCCCGCACCGGTCCTTCACGCTCGGTTACCAAGGAGACAGCGCTCCGCGCCTAACCCGGCGCTGCCCTGCTTCCCTTGCTCAGCGCGCTGGAGAGGTCTAAGCTTCTGCTCCAAACCCAGGCCTGCTTTCCGGTCTCGAAACTCGCAGAAACGTCTGGGCCAGCGTCCGGCTAGGAAGTTTCATGGCTGCGTCGGGGCCGCCTGTCCCGGATGAAGCTGCAGTTCCCCAACGGGAGCTCTACATATCGGACTTCCAATCCCGCACTCCAGAACATGGGCCTGGGCGAGCTCATGGTGGCTGCTAAGATGAAGAGATGAGACGTGGGGCTCCCAGAGCAGCCCCAGTGGGCTCACTCGAGCTGCCCCAGAGAGCCCTAAGCGGCCTGACCGAGCGCCCTTTTGCGTGCAGAAGGCAAGGGACGGCTGCAAGTGGAGGTGACCCGATGACTACCCCACCCTCTAAAAGCAGCGGAGAGGCCAAGGTCGAGTCAGTAGCACAGGGAGTGCGGAGAAGCACGGGCAAAGGCTCTGTGACCTAGGGGAACTCTTTGGACCACACCCTCAGGGTCCTTGGAAGCAGAAAGGACCAGCTTGAGGCTAGGTTATAGCAAGTTTTTCGGGGAACGGGGGTGAGGAACAGGGTAAAAGCTACTTCTGAGATCTGTGTTTCTCAGTTACACTTTGGGGCTGTGACATGGACTGGCTTGGGCAACTTTTGTGGTCCCCAGTAATCTCTATTGACCTCACTTGAATCTAAGCAGAAAGTGTACGTGATACGCAAACACAGCTTCAGGGAAAGTTTCCCAGGCCACTTCTTTCTGAAGTCCATGGCTCCTTAGCCCCTGCCACAGAAGTTTCACAGTAAGGCTTTCCACAAGATGGTGCTCATGGGGTTTGGTTTTTAGTTTTTTATGTTGACAGATTCATTCCTTTGCTGATATTTTATTGAACTACTACCATGTGCTAGTATTTTCCTAGAAGGTGCTGGAGTTACAGACTGAGCAAGACAGACTAAATTCCTGTTTCAAATGAGAAGCTTTTGAGTTTTACACTTTCAGAGGCAAAACTGAACACTGATATGTTTTCCCATTTATGTTGCTGTTAATGTATACTTTTGATAGTTCTGCTGCATTGCTGACAGTTGCACATGTCTTGTTTTAGTCTAGACTGGTGTGGTTTGGGCCTTTTCAGCGATTGGGGAAGGAATCCATGTATCTGTGTAAACCACTGTCCGAATCCATCCTTTTGCCAGAAAAGCACCAAATCTTACCTTAGATAATGCCAAATTATTGCTGAGAACCAGGTTATCATTTCTGGGGTTACAGCTTTGGAACTGTCTGTCCATTTGAGTAAATTCATGGTTCTTTTTAAAGAAAAATTCTGGTAGGTCTTTGGTATCCCAGTGACCAGGCTCCAAGTGAAGGTAAAGAGATGGACTTTGACCTGGGTGAGAATTTATGGTTCCTTTCCTTTCATAGCAAAATGTTAGCTCTGCTACCTGATCGCTGCACCAGAGAGTAAGTATGATGAAAGCATGCACTCTTGCCAAAGGCAAGCTTGAAATCCAAGGGGTGAGGGGCAGGTTGAGGGCCATGTGACCTGCACACTACCCCCACTCTTGTTTAAGTTAGCTGCCTGAAGGCAGCATCTTTTAGGACATTTACTGTGGTGCTTGGCTGCCTCCAAAAATGCCTCAGTTAGCTGTGGTTCAAGAGTATGCCCTTCATTTTTTTGCAGGCTGACAGGAAAATGGTCATAAGACATAAATAAATGTTTCTGTACCTTTGGCATAAAAACCTGTTAAAAACAGTCCGTATTACCACTCCATGTCCTTTGCATAAGGATTCACAAGAAGCCTAGACTTCCATGAGATACCTTCTTGATCTGACATTTCCATGTGCATGTCCAGTGGGCGTATCCCATTCAGCATCACCCAGGGACCACAAACAGTACTTGGAGGTTTGATTTAAACTTGCTTTTCCCCGCTACAACGGAGCCTCCCTCAGTCCTTGTCATTTCAATAAATAGCTGCTCCACTGCTTAGCCCAAGCCCCAGAACCATTTTAGAACCTCTGTCACTCCACATGTAATCTGCTATCAAATCCAATTTCTTTTACCTTGAGCATACATCTAGACCTATTTCTCACCTCTTTATTTTGTTTGGAAAATTTCTCAAGGTTCTTAACTTGTCTCTTCACTTGTGTCCTTTGTTCCTTTACATCTATACTTAGTACAGCAGCTAGAATGATCCTTTAAAATGTGTCAGGTCATAACTTCACCCTGTCCTTCCATAGCATTCCATCTTATTGGGAGGAAAAATCTCAAGACCTCAGTGCCCCACTCTTAACTTGATGTCCTCATAATCTGTTCCCGATTTGTGTCACCAAAGCCTCTTAGGTCCTGTGTGCTAATGCATTTACTTTTCTCTCTGTCTGGAAGACTCTTCCAAAATATCCTCATGACCTGTTCATTCCCCTTTTCACCTCTCTCTCAAATACTGCTTTCTCAGTGAGGAGCTTCCTAACCACCATGTTTCTACTGCAGCCCTCTCTAAGCTTTCTCTTATTTCAGTTTTATTTTTTTCCACAGCATTGTGCTGATTAAGATTACTTGTCAACTTGACTGGCTTGTCAGCTGCCTGGGGGATTAATGAAGCATGCTTCTGGGTATGGCTGGGTGGCAAGTGGAAGCCCAAGTACTGTTTGTGGTCCCTGGCCCCCTCTTCTCTGGCACTGTCCCTTTGTTCTGCTTTTTGGCTGCCATGAACTAAGAAACTTTGCTCTGTTACACCCTTTCACTATGGTTTTTCTGCTGTGGAGCCAGTTGGCCCCGTATTGAATAACCCAAATTAAACTTCTCCCCCTTTAAATAATTTTTCTTCAGATTGTGAGTGTCAGGTACTGTTTTTCAGTGAAGGAAAGATAATACAGAAAAATGAGATTTTAGGTTAAAAAGGGGAACTTTGTTGGGAAATGGACTTGAGGCTGTTTGTGTTACTTTTTGGTAAGGACTTTATCTTCATTTTATTCCTTTCCTAAGACTGTATCAGGCTGAATTTAAGGGCAGTGGACTTCCTGAAGAAGAAATTTTAAGGCAGCCTAGCATTCAGAGATGGTGGGATGGGTATAGCTGGTTGTATTTAACCAGATTTGTAGTAAGAGTATGGGGCAGGAAACAGAGAAGAATAATTAGTAAAACTTAAATTTTGGCTCCAAAGGAACCATGTGCAAAGTTGGGGCCATTGGAGGTGTGGTTGCTAAAGAGATTAATATAATTAAAAAAACAGTTACTTTGTACTGGGGCGAGACGAAAGATGCCTTGAAGGATTCTCAGAAATCACATGACCTCACCCATCCCAGGCTCAGTAGTATAAAATTATCAACCCTTTATTTACAAAGACAGTCCCTAGTATATCTGCTTAAGGAGGGCTGTAACGTTCCCTGGGTTTCATTCTACAGTACTCAGCCATCCTGCGTCCTCAGATGCCACTACAGCCATGGTCCAAGGGGGCCTAGGTATTGCATTTGCTGGCAATAGACTTTGGTGTGGTCTGTGTGATGCTGGTTTTGCTTGCATGAAGAATGCAACAGTTCTAGGGCCAGGGAGGATTCCACTCAGATTTAGAAGGCCTGGGTGGCTAGGCAAGGAGCTCTATTATGGTTTGTGTCTGTGTGTACCCCCAAAGCCTCATGCAGTCATGGGTGCAGACTTCTAGAGTTATGATTGATTCATGGGCCAATGTTGGAATTATTGATGTGAGTGCTACACCTGCCCTGGGTGGGTAGTTTGCATACAGTGTAAGGGAGGGAAAGAGGCTGCTTGCTGCTGTTCCTCTTTTTTGCTCTTGTTGCTTTTGCTATCTTCTACCGCCATGAACTGTTGCCCTCTGCCATGTGCCACCTGCCTTGGAGCCAGTCAAGTATGGACTGAAACCTCCACACACTGTGAACTAAATAAACCTTTCCTTCCTTAACTTTGGGTGTCAGGTATTTTGTCTCAGCAATGAGATAAAAGTAACCAAGACAAGCCCCAATAGGATAATAACATACAGCTGTGGGAATGAAGCCAAAGTTACAGTGGAGATCCCAGGAAACTGGAGATATCAGGAACATGAGCCGTCTGCCAAGAAAAGTTGGAGCTGTGAGGGAAGCCAGCCCAAGAGATGCTGTTCAGGCTGCAACCAGCAAAGCCATAAGCATGTGTCACCCAAGGTCCTCAGGAGTTCATACCTCTTACCACATCATGTGCCCTGGATGCTGGACATGGAGCTACAGGACTTAATATTTGCCCTGCTGAATTTGGTTTTTTTTTAATCTTATTTTTTTTTCTACTCACCTATGAATCCTTTTTGGAATGGGAATGTTTGCCCTGTGCTATTGAAGCTTGGGAATATGAAACTTGGTTTTGAGTTTTACAGTGATTCACAGCTTAGAGTTTGCTCTGAGGCTCAGAAGAAACTTTCACTTTGACTTTTGAAACATGCTGGCACTGTTGAGACTGGAGAAGGGGTTATTGTGGTTTTAGTTGCACAAAATATAGTTGTGTCATACTAGGTGGAATTATTAATTAGTGTTGTGCTTATTTGGAGGTTAAATATGGTTTAAAGAGGTGTGTTTGGGTGTCAGGTTGGCAAAGGGTGATGTGATGGTTAATATTAATGGTCAACTCAATTGGCATGGGAGCTGCCTAGGGCATTAGTGATACAGAGTTAGTGATAATAGTATTATACCTGGTCCCTGACCTCTTCCTCTCTGACACAGTTCCTCTGCTCTGCTTCCTAACCATCATGACCAACCACTTTTGTTGTGCCATGCCTTCCACCATGATGTTTCTGCCTTGAGCCAACCAACCATGTAATGAACCCCCTTAAACTGTGAGCTAATTTAAACCCTTCCTCCTTTAATTTGTAGATATTGGATATTGTGTATCAGTAATGGAAAAACCAACTACTATCACGCTTACCACTCTTCAACACATTCTATGTTTTATCTATTGTTTGTCTTATCCTACTGGAATGGGAGCTTCTTGAGGGCAAGGAATTTTTCTCTGTTCTATATCTTGGCACCTGGAATAGCATCTTAGACATGGCAAGTATTCAGTACATATTTGCTGAATACACATTTAATTATTTAGAACTTAGTGTTAGGAGAAAAGGCATCTTTTGTCTCAAAGTTGCATGTCCTCAGGCAACATGATCAGTACTCTATATTGTGTAATTAATTTTTGGTTTTAATACCAGAATATTGAAAGGCAAATCTAGAAGGACTTAGATTCCTGTTTCATGCTTTACTTTACTTCCAACAAATATTTGTCAATTGAATGCCTTGTATATACCTTTAATCCTATTTGGAAGTAAGTGGACTATAAATAATAATTATTAATTATCTACATATTATATGGTAGAAAAATAGTGAACTTGTAAAGGTAGAATGTTACTAGGAGAGGAAAGGCAGATAAAAAAAGCTTTACATGTGGTCCATGGCTAAGTGAGCATATGATTTGTCATGCACCTTGGACCCCCTATATAAGGCAGAAGGGAAGCAGAAATGATTTTTCTCAGATAATAGGCACAAACAAGAACCATCCCCAGCAAACTAGGACAAATGGTCACTTTAGCCATGGTTAATATTTATTAGTAATAGTAAAATGTATTGCCACTTTTGATCCATGGTCCAGTTTATGTAGAGTTTTGCATCAACAAACCTTATTCAGGGCTTGTTAGCAACTCAGAGTGGATTTTAAAACTATTTATTAGTTAGACTCATGTTCAGAGTAGTAATCCTAAAGAAAATGGATTCCACTGTCAGAATGAACAAAAGCCACTGTGAGTAGCCACCAGCATCTAGTGAAAATCTATTCCT